GAGGACTAGACCCACCTATGTGGCAAAATACGGGGATGACTTGTGGCTATGGGTAAATAAAGAAAGAGTAAGAATCAATCGTCCGAGTATTGATTCTTCCGCGTATTTTACGCTTCATGCCTTTTGCCCCATAGGTGCATGAGCGCTTATAGAAAAACTGGCTCATAACGGTGGAACCGTTAGTTCTTATTTATACAAACAAAGAACCATGACAATAATGTGGGAAGGCGGTGGATTGTATGTAGAAAAGAAAGCAATTCAATGAATGCGAGCGCCTTCATAGACCCCGTAACGACTAACTCGAAAGAGGAGAGCATGATTAATTTCATGCTAATACACCAGTACTCACCCAGTTTCATTTCAATTGAGGATCTAGACCACCAGTACTTTCTAAGGCCGTGCCCATTAACAAGTCACGATTTTAGGAAACGTACGGGCCACTACAGGAGCGCCCAAATTCATTTGACTAGAAACGTTTCTAGTACTTTCTACTCTATTTTTTTCCACGGCCAATAGCTGGGCCAAGTACTGGTGGTTTAAACTTTAAACCACCACTTTCCCCAATGAAATCCGTAAGTCACATGGCGTATTGCATAAGCCACAGGATGGCTGGTATACTGGCCGTGCGTGTCAGAGACAGTCCGCAAAATTTAGAGTGTGCCAGCTTTGGTGATTTTTTAAGCTCAACATTTTGGACGAAAAATCCTGGCAAAAATCAGGGACTTGCATTGACTGCGGGTCGTTTTGGGAAAGCATAGAGAAAAACTTTAAAAAAAAATTCACAATGGCAAAAGAAAAATATGGCAGCATGCTCCCGGCTGCTACCGGTAGGCCCAAGAGTTTTTGGTTCGGTGTTCCAAGCTCAGCAATGTGTGTCGATTCTGGGGCGGTGGTCTGCGAGGGACCCTCTCCGACTAATGTCTCCACATACAACCAGGTTGCACTTGGCTAGTGGAGACTGTTCCAATTCATGCTGGAGTGGAGAACATTGGTTCGAGAAAATAGCATCCCTGGCGTTTGTGGTGGGAAATAAATTCAAATAGAGTCCCTCGCACTGGGTTCAACAAATCGGGCTCCTCCTCCTCCTCCTCTCCTCCTTCTCCTCTGCATTCTTCCTTTGCCTCCCTGGCCACCTCCTCCTCGTCCTTCGCGTTCCTCGTTTCCCTCTCTCCTCCACCTCCTCCTCATTTGCCTGCCTCCTTTCCCTCCTCCTCCTCTGCCTCTTCGTCCATCTCCTCCTCCTTCGCCTGCTTACAATGCCCTATAGCATGGTAGTTGTTCTCCTGGTCTTGAAGAGGCTCGCAGAGCATCGCGCATTCACATTCTCTGCTTCCCCAGCCTTCACAGTCCTGCATAAGAAAGGAAAATGATGGTGGTATCTCACACCATAGCCAGAGAGCGATTCAATTCCAAGAGATAGACTCCGCCAGGAATTCTACGTGTGTTAGCACAGAACAGAACAAGTATGAACTACCGGAAGCAGTGAGGCACCCATATCCTGAATGAGTTGGAAAGGAAGCCCATGTCCAGAATGAATGGGAAAGGACCAGACTTTCTATATACGTAGAGGGAAATGTAATAGCAGCCTCCGAACCTTTGGGTGGCAGTCTTGAGATATATCCACAGGTGACCGGCCCCTGGTAATTCGCAATTATTATAGAAGTTATTGTAGATTATATGTCATGATTTTTTGTTATTGGGCTTCTGTTATGGCAGTTATACTGAGAGTTTATGCCTCTTCAATTATCATGAAGTTGAGGGTCTCAACTCTGATAGGCATTGTAATCGAGCCACGAATGTCAGCTGTGATGATTCTTTTAAAGAATCTTCTTCCTTTTTTTTTTTTTTTTTTTTTTTTTTTTTTTTTTTTTTTTTTTAAAAAATTTTTTTTTTTTTTTTTTTTTTTTTTTTTTTTTAATTTGGACCATTTCTCGATTTATGTGTGTCATCCTTGCGCAGGGCCCATGGTAATCTTCTCTGTATCGTTCCAATTTTAATGGATATCCCGAGGGACCTATGATGATTCTGACCGAGAATTCAACCTGACAATTCTTTTATTGGGTGCGTCCCGACTGGCCCCAGCAGGACCTGAGCAGCCACTTCCACCTGGCCTGCCACTCCCGCATTGCCACGGGCTACAGGGTGGCACAACTCACCCCAGCAAGTTACCAGCATTGACTGCCCTGGCCATCCTCCTCATGCCACCAAAAGTGACGGGAACGGGAATAGAGCCCAGAACCTGTGTGGTGCCGCTCAGGCATGAAACCTACTGAGGTAGCCGGTGGGACAGCAACAGCAGCCTCCGGACCTTTCCCAGGAAGGAAGGAAAAGCATGTTAGCTTCCCCTCTGAGAGAGAAGAGGTGCGCGTAGAAGTCTCCGGACGAGTGGTTGAGTAGAAGAGCAGTTTGATGTGCGCTCTGCCTCGAGTAACATCTGTGTGTGGGTGCGTGCGCCTGGCATCAGGGTGGATGAACCCGGTGTGTGTGGCCTCCTGCCGGCTCTCCTCCGTCTGTAATATCCCCGACACCCCTACAACCTTTTATAGTGAAAAGCATTTAGAGAATGGTGAACTAGTGTGGCCGCCTGCATGAACACAACATTTCAAGTTCGTTCCGTTCTTTTTCGTTCTCTTTTTTGTTAATTTTTGTTTTGTGTTTTTCTGTTGTTTGCGAAGCAGGTGGATTTGCACTATTGAATCGTATTGATCTATTTATCAAAAGCTAGATGTGGACGCTGGGACTTCAGGCTAGCTCTGTTTGCAACTATGCATCCAGGCAACTTGAAAAAATGAATGGGTCACTCGTAAAAAATTTGGAGACTCGGGGCTACCTGACCACAATGGCTTGTGGTGGCAGCCAAAAAAGGAAACAGTTGTGCCGCTGGCTGTTTGGCAAAGCTTGGCACACAATGGCAGGCTTGGGTGTACTTGTGGTTTCTACCACCAGTATATCCGTGCCTGTTTTGTATGAGGCGGATTCACGCCAAGCTCTGCTGAAACGCCAGCGCGGTGCTTTTGTTTTTGTTTTGGCTGGTGCCGCCAGCCATTTTGGTCTGGTTGCCCTGAGCCTTCAATTTTTTTGGAGAGTCATGATTCTCAACTTGGCTGGGGCCATGTACTGGTGGTTAAAGGCATTTCTACCAATTTTCTATCCTATGTAATGACCCGCCAAAACACAGACCAAGAACACTGCTGATTTCTGTGTTTTGCCGTTGGAATGCATGCCTTGCTGAGATTCCCGCGTTCTGCTGAGTTTTCTAAGTCTGTGTGTGAGTGTGTGGGTGCTGGTCCGTGTGCCGGTCTGAGTGCATATCTGCCTGAGTGTGTGTGTGGCCCGACAGGGCACTTGTGTGACGTACCTGTGGCCATGACTTGGAGGGTTGCAGCGGGGGAAAACATTCAAGTAGCGGGGAGTAGGCCCGCGGCACTTAGAGAAGCAGGGAAAAACACTAAGTAGCAGGTAGGCCGTTACCACTCAAGTAGCGGTGGGTGTGTCGGGAACTGGAGGCCGAGCAGAAGAAGACAAAAAGTCGGCATTTTTAGAGGCCCAGTAGCGGTAGACTAGAGGTAGGCGGGCACTAGTCCAAGTAGCCTAAGTCTAGGGCCTGTGCGGACCAAATCAGAGCCTGCAATAATGTTTCCCTCCAAAAGGGAGGAGGTACCGGTTGCTTGAAGGCCGCGTGGCCTGGAAGTCACCGTCCAAGAGGCAAGTACGTCGCTATATCTCCAGGTGGAGCGCTGAGCTCTACCTCATTTGCGGTATGCAAGGTTGCGCGTCATGCTGCTTGAGCAGGCGCTGGTTCTCAGAACGCTGCCTGGGAGGAAGGAGGAGGGAGAGCTGGGCGCTCTGCCTGGCTATGGCGAGCAGCCCAGCTTGAGGAGGAGTAAGAAGAGGGTGAAGGAGGAAAGTGGCGAGGTACCTACCTGACTATGGTGGACACCATCTTCATCACCTTGTTAGGCGCTGCATCTGGAAGGCCCCAGTTGGGGTAGTGCCGCACCAAGGAAGGTTCGAGGCAGAGTCAGGCATGGCGCCCTGAAGAGAAGCGGCCATAACTGCTTTGCGTTGTCCTTTGCACAGGAGGGCAGGGCTCTTAGTAGTCCGTCATAGCCTTGGCCTGTGAGAGGAAAGAGAAGAGGGAGGCCATGGCTATGGTGGACCTATAGTTGTGCTGGCAGTAAGAGGGAACTTTGGATATTGATTCTGGTTCGACCACTCATTGTTGTTATTATTATTATTATTATTATGGAGAAGAATAAGATTGGCGGAGACAAGGAGGAGGAGGAGGAGAGTGGAGAGAGAGGGGGATTTGTCATTGGTCTTGCTGATGTACATCTTCTTCTTCTTCTTCTTTCTTTCTTCTTCTTTGGTCTCTATCCCTTTGCAAGTGCTTTCATTTCTTTCACAATTGGGTGGGATTGTCTTTCCTTGTGAATTTGCACTTCGGAAATAGCCAGGATCGTAACACCTATTTCCTGACTAACTATCTGAGTCCACCCTATTGTTTTTGGGCTATTCGTGAAACTAGCTACCTATTATGTCCGAACCAGTACATCCGTGCCTCTTTTGTACCGAGGCGGATTCCCACTGTGCGCTAAGCTTTGCTGAAACGCCATCGCGGCGTTGTTGTTTACGTTTTGACTGGCACCGCCAGCCATTTTGGTCCTGTTGGCCCGAGCCTCTGATCTTTTGGAGAGAGGCTTAATCGTGATTCTCAAGTTGGCTGGGGCCTTGGTGATGAAGCCAAGTGAGGCCAGTTAAGGGCCAGCTAGGGTCCCTCATTGCACATCAAGAAAAGTAGACTACTTGTGTATTGTGGAGTAGTAGTTCATTAAATTGGAAAGAGTCCTTAGATGATTGAACTAATAAATTTAATTCAGAAAAGGACATTGAGTTATGAAAATAGTCCTCAGAATTCTGGGACATCATACTGCAAATCTAACCTCCCTCATCAACTTACAAGTGGTACTGCATTTGAATGAATGTTTGTTAACTTGCAGACTATATTCGACTTCCGCTTCTTCACTCTGCTGGGCGTTCTTGGCTCACTTACTGGATCAGTTTTATGCTTTGCTAAGGTGAGCAGCTGCAAGCCTTGTATATGTATAATGCCCTTAAAAAATGGCCCCTCATACCGTGGATGTGTTTTCGGGTTGCTTTTCTTCATTCTTCTTTTTTGTATGTTTTCGCGGATAAGAACAATGATTTTCGTTTTGTGTTTTTGCGGAAATGTCTTTGTCAGTGCTCTCTCTCCTTTGATTTGTTTCTTTTTCAAAGGGATTCGATCCAGGTGCGAGGAAAAATGAGGAACAGCGAAATAACATAATTCCAAGTTGCAACTTCACATTGAAAGCCAGATAGTCGTGAGCCGTCCAGAAAGGAGAAATGTACCGAAAATCACACCAGAGGAGAACCAAAGCAACGAACTCAATTGTCAATGAGAGCCCTCTCTCACCAGCATCAACAAATGCATCTGAAGCCCTTCCTCCCTATTGGCGCTCAGCGCCCAGACTGCGATTGTACAGCTCCTATACTAGCCTACGAAGAGTGACAAAGCAGTTGACATCAGTAGCAGCTACCAAAGTACATGGAGATGTTTCCCACACAGACCTCCGCAACGACCAGGTACGTTCTCTCTCACTCGCCCTCTACTTGCTTACCCTCGTCTTCTTCCCCACGCACAACCTCGACATTGCCCTCGAAGACCACCACCACCTCCACTGGCTGACCATGCCCAAGCCCGGCTTTGGCTGGCTTGGGGCTGCCCTGCCTCAAGCAACACTCTCCACCCACCAGCACCCGCGTGCGCCCAGGCACTTCCTGCTAGCGGCCACGAGCGCTCAGTCTAGCAGCGCTGCCGCGTTGTACGCAAGTGCCCGAATGCCTGCCTCACTGGCAGGCACTTTCCTATATGGAAAGTAGCGTGGCCCGAAGGCTGCCTGGACTGGGAGGCCCGTGTGCACAGTAGCTTCATGTTGGGCCAAAGTGTCTGCAGCCAGGCGTGATTCAGACAGTGGCCTGGGACTGAAACAGGTAAGGGCTCCCAACTACCAGATGTGGCCTGAGTTGCTGTCTGCGTTGTGATAGGCCGAAAGGCTTGCTCCCACGCAAAGCCTGGAAGAGCCTAGAAGGCTCAGGAAAACACTGTTGCTCGTTAGCAGGGCCCCTGTAACCAACTGGCACATGATAACTGTCTGGCGCCCAAGAGGCCACAGAATGGCAAAATTCAGGCCTAAATGAGATGAGCAGGCCCGCCTTCACTTAGGGCGGGCACAAGGCATTCAGCGGGGCCCCCATAAGGCCTGCTGAGGACAAGGATCCTCGCACAGGGCTGTGTCGGCAACCGTCCGGTTGGACCAGGCTGGTTGGACCCCAGGTGGTCCAACCGGAATTCCAGTTGGGCGCGAAAGTGCGTCAATTTTTTTTTTTTGTTGAAAACACGGGTGGACTGTGCTCGGCGAGATCTCCCCAAAACTGCAAAGAAAACTGTGAACAGAGAAGTTTGCATTCCATGGGGGGTCGGGGTATTTCAGGGGTTGGGGGTTGGGGGGTTTATGGTGGGGGTGTTCGTGATGGAGTTTCAGCAAGCACATGGACAACAACGTACCTGGCGTTCTGGAAACACGGACAGACGCGAACCTGCGGCATCACGAAACATGAAGAAAGGCATATGTCCGGAATCCGGTGTTCGGATCACCGGACTGCTCAGACCGATCCAGACATACGTCCGGAATACTTTGTTCAGGTTCTTGTTACAGGCAGAGGCAAACTGTGTTGCAATCAGACTCGCTTTATTTTCCACTTCGCATACATGCAAACAGATGACGATTCACACTGGCGCCAAGCGCCCACTCAAAGCTCAGAGATATGGAACCAAGAACACAGTTCAGATGCACACTCGCTTCATTCAGCTATGGCGCAATAGCGCCCATACACCCAACTCTCGTCACTGTCAACACATCTGTTCGCACACACTCAACCCTGGATCGCCCTGAATACTCCTCACGCATACTAACACCAGTACTAACCATCGCGGATATGGCCGCTCGCTAACACTATCGCTAACCACCAACTCCTTCTCTGCCCACTTCGACTTTGGGCTGACTGCAGACCACCTCGCACAAGCTGCTGGGGCAGCGCTTCCGCATGGCTTACGCAGCGAATGGATGAATGGCTGGGCGCTGCCTCTTGATTTATACTTCTGTAACTCGTTGGTCTGCCCCTTTCCACCGGGCCCATGGTGCACACAGTCCCTCATGGTACTTGCTTGGCTGGACTGGGACTGCCTGGACCGGTACTGCTGACTGCATGGGTTTGCACTGCCAATTTAATGTGGTTGGGCTCACCACTTGCCCACTTGCCTCTGACTAACGTGAGGCAGCTTCGAAAGGCCACTTCCGGAAGTCTGTGGCCTTGGCCTTTCGAGTACTGTAGCAGCTACGACCTTGACCTTTCAGGACTGTAGCAGCTACGACCTTGACCTTTCAGAATTCCTACAGCTACGACCTCTATAGGGCTGTGACTCCTACTCGACAAACCTACAGATCGAACCCCTACCACTACACAGACCTACGACAGACAACAACAACTGCCAAAACACAGGTCACGGGTTCAAACACTCACAGGGTTGACTCGATACTGTACACGGGTAGGGTAAGGTCTGGGGATCGAACTCTGGGCCCGCATCTGTGACTGCAAAATGGTGAAAGCCGTTTCACTCCCGCCGGCCTAAATTTGAGGTCCTCCGAGAATACTTCAGTCTAAGGCAGGACCTTTACCCTTCCTATCTCTTTCGTAGACTCGGACTACATCGGGAGCTGTCTCTAGAAGTTCTGTCCGCGTGAACCAGCGGTCGTCTTCTGGCTCTTGATAGGCAAATCTGACTTTGTATTGTTTCTGGGGACGACCTCTACCCCCTGTTCTGAAGACATCCTCACCTACTATCCCTTCAATATCATATCTTCCATCCATGTCTGGAGGAATCATAGACTTCCGTGATGGAAACTGTTGACTTATGACACAAGGCAACAGCTTTGCCGCATGGAACACTGGGTAGGTGTGGAGGTGTGCTGGAATCTCAATGGTATAGGACGGTTTGACTTCCAAGACTGGTCACGGTCCTCTATACGCAGGCAGTAATTTCTGTAAGATGTTCTCCTCGGGAGCGAATTCTTTTGACCTGACCCGGACTAAGTCGCCTACTTGAGACTATGAGGGGCGACGATGCTTATTAGCTTGCTCTATCATTCTATGCTGGGCTTTCCTGAGCTTGTTTACAACAGTAGCTATCTCTTTTTCGTGCTGTATTGCAAACTCTTGTGTACCAGGCGGTAGCCTCTGAATCTGGTCCCGGTTCAGTCCTTCAAACGGTCTACTCGGTCTAAAGGACTTCTGCAGCTCGTTGGGAGTGCGACACGTAGCTAGATGCACGTTGTTATTGTAGGCACTGGCTACCTTTGGGAGCATCTCGTCCCAGTTGATCTGATCGGGCCTAATGTACATCCTAAGAACTTGTTGCAGGATCTTGTTCATCTGTTCAGTCTGGCCGTTAGTCTTGGGGTGGCGGCCAAATGACATTATCAACTTCGAGCCACGAACTCTCATCAGCTCCTGCCAGTTCTGACTAGTGAATCTGGTATCCCTGTCACTAACTATCGACAATGGTATACCATGCTCATTGACCCAATGGTCAAAAAGCTTTTGAACTACTAAGTTTGTGCGTGCCTCTGACGGCAAAGGAACAAAAACTGCGTACTTGCTAAATCTATCTACTATGACCATGACTTGACTTTTGCCATGCCTACTCTTGACCTGAGTATCCATAAAGTCGATGGACATAGAATCTCCGGGTCTGTCAGGAATAGGCAGGGGTCTAAAAAGACCAAGAGGTGCTTGCGTAGTAGTCTTGTTTCACTGACAGACTTTACAACTGTGAACATACTCTATGCAGTCGGCCTTCATACTTGGCCAGATATACGCGCACATGAGGTTGGCTAGTGTCTTTTGCCAACCAAAGTGCCCCTCTGTATCGTGGCATTCCCCTAAGATCAAACTACGGATCTCTTCACTGTTGGGAACGCATAGGCGATCAACTACATTAGTCTTCTCGAATAGTAAGCCATTAGTAGTCCGGTAGTTTGGCTCAGACTCTGGGGCCTCCCTAACTCTCTTGAGGAAATCACTATGGATAGGGTCTTGTGGATATGCCTCTCTTAACTTTCTGCTGCAGGTCTCTCCCTATATCTAGATAGTGAACTATTGCCCCAAAGTAATCAACTCTTCTACTTAGAGCGGCCGCTACTACATTGTACTTCCCTTTAACTGGCTTCAATTCAAAGTCATATTGGTCTAACTCTGCGGCCCACCTAGTAAGCTTAGGTGTCATCTTGGCCTGAGTCTTCAGCCGCCTTATAGTCTCGTGGTCTGAATAGACTTTGAAGTGCCTCCCAAGCAAGTAGTGCTTCCAATGATCTAGTTCTTGCCTGAGAGCGTAGAGTTCTCTCTCATAGGTTGATGTTGCCACCTTCTCTGAAGGCATCGTGGATGACATGAACTCTACGGGCCTATACTCATTGCCATCGTCTTGCTGTAAAACAACACCTATCCCATACTGACTCGCGTCAGTGGTAACAACAGAAGGCAGGGACGGATCGACTACCTTAAGGACTGGGTATTCTATCAGGGCCCGCTTTAATCTTTTCAGGGCAGTTGTACAGTCCTTGTCCGACTTCCAGATTGCCTCTTTCTTTAGCAACCTGCGAAGGGGTGCAGCGATGGTGGAGAAGTTCCTAACGAACTTCCTATAGTAATTAACTAGGCCTAAGAACGACCGCAACTCTGTCAGTGTGCGGGGCGTTGGCCAGTCTCTAATCGTTGCAATCTTACTATCTTCAGGTCTAACGCCATCTCCGTCTAAGACGTGGCCCAAGTAAAACACTTATGTTTTGGCCCATTCGCACTTCTTTGCGTTGATCCTGAAGTTAGCTTCTCTAAGCTTCTCCAAGACCTGCCTTAGATGGCCCTCATGCTCCTGGAGGGTCTTACTGAACACTAGAATATCATCTGGATACACTACAAC